TTTAAAAATTGTTGTTTGTCATGTTTGCTTTTCATCAACTTTAGTCCCTATAGTGTGAGAAAAGCAGGATAATTTTTTAAATTTGCTTCATTTATACTCCGTCTTTCTCACCCCCATGGGGGGACTCAAGGCAGCTTACACCTCCAGCAAGATTCAATGCCACTTAATACAATCATAAAACATACCCTGTCAACTAAAACAATTAAAAGTCAAGCAAATAAACACATAGAATAACGGATTAAAAACAGATTAAAACAAACAAATAAACAAACAAATAGATGTGAGTACCATCTTCAAGAGACCTAATTATACATCCTACAGTCATGTATTTCAGGAAGGGGACAGTAGCGTACAGACTGATGAGCAACCCTTATCCAAAATTCCAAATACTTCAAAATCCAAAATTGCCAGAGTGGGTGACTGAGATTGTGTTATCACTTGGTTTTCCAATGGTTCAATGTATGCAAACTTTGTTTCATGCACAAAATTATTTTTACAATTCTGTGCATATGTGTATAAGATGTATTATAATATTTATTTATACCCACTTTATTTCCCCAAGGGAACTCAAAGCGGCTATGTATGAAATAGAATCATGGAGTTGAAAGAGATCACCAAGGGCCATCCAGTCCAACCCCTTTCTGCCCATGCAGGAATACAAATTAAAAGCAACCTTAAATATGGCATCCAGCTTCTGCTTTAAAATCTCCAGAGAAGACTCCACCACATTCCAAGGTAGCATATTCTGCTGCTGGACCACTTACTGTCAGAAAGTTTTTCCTGATGTTTAAATGGAATCTCTTTTCCTGCAGTTTGAATCCACTGCTCCATGTCCTATTCTTTAGAGCAGGGGTCCTCAAACTAAGGCCTGGGGGCCGGATACGGCCCTCCGAGGTCATTTACCCGGCCCTCGCTCAGGCTCAACCTAAGTCTGAAATGACTTAGTTTCTTCATTTTAATTACTGTATTGTTTTTAAGTGTTTTTTGCACTACAAATAAGATATGTGCAGAGTGCATAGGAATTCATGTTTTTCCCCGAATTATAATCCGGCCCTCTAACAGTTTGAGGGAGTGTAACCTGACCCTCTGTTTAAAAGGTTTGAGGACCCCTGCTTTAGAGCAACAGAGAACAAGCTTGCCTCCTCCTCACTGTGACATCATTTCAAATATTTAAACATGGCTATCATGTCCCCTCTTGTCTTATTTTCTCTAAGCTAAGTTTCCTAAACTGTTTCTCATAGGGCTTAAGTTCTCAAACTAAGCCCTATGAGGATGATTTTGGACACCCTTCTCTGAACACATTCCAGCTGGTCAATATCCCTTTGGATCGGGGTGTCCGGAACTGGACACAGTATTCCATGTGAAGTCTGACCAAGGCAGAATAGAGTGAGACTATGACTTCCCATACAGCCTAGAATCACACTGTTGACTCATGTTCAGCTTGAAGTCTACTAAAGCTCCTAGATCACTTTCATATGGATTGTTTTTAAGTCAGGTGTCACCCATCCTGTATCTATCCATTTCATTTTTATTGCCAATGTGAAATATTGCACATTTCTCCCCACTAAAATTCATTTTGTTACTTTTGGCCCAGCTCTCTAATCTGTTTGGGTCATTTTGGATTCTGATCCTGTCCTCTGTAGTACTAGCTATACTTCCCAATTTGATGTCATCTCCAAATGTAATGAGCATGCCTAATATTCAGCCACCCGGAGTCCCCCCGGTGGCGCAGTGGGTTAAACCCCTGGCCGGGAGGACTGAAGACCGACAGGTCGCAAGTTTGAATCCGGGGAGAGGCGGATGAGCTCCCTCTATCAGCTCCAGCTCCTCATGCGGGGACATGAGAGAAGCCTCCCACAAGAATGATAAAAACATCAAAATCATCTGGGCGTCCCCTGGGCAACGTCCTTGCAGACGGCCAATTCTCTCACACCAGAAGCGACTTGCAGTTTCTCAAGTCACTCCTGACACGACCAAAAAAAAAAAACCAAGTCATTGATAAAGATGTTGAACAGCACTGAGCCCATGACAGACCCCACTGATCCACTCTCTCTTGAATGCAGAGAAGCCATTGGATACAAGCACTGTTAAGCCAGTCACCCAATCACCAATCCATCTAATAATAATATCGTCTAGCCCAGGCATGGGCAAACCTACTGGCTGTTAGGAATTGTGGGAGTTAAAATCCAAAACACCCAGAGGGCCAAAGTTTGCCCATGTCTGGTCTAGCCAACATTTTATTAGCTTCTTTATGAGAACGTTACGGGGGACCTTATCAAAGACCTTACTGAAATTGAGATATGCTATGCCTACAGAATTCCCTTCATCTACCAAGCTTCTCTGAGAGAGAAAGAGATAAGATTTGTCTGGCTTGGCCTGTTCATGGGAAACCCTTGATGACTTTTTGTAATTGTCTGTTTAATATGCTGCTCCAGAATTTTCCTGATATTGATGTCAGACTGACAGGGCGGTCATTATTGGGTCCTCCTCCCCCCCCCCCCCCTTTTAGAGATGGAGCCAACATTTAACTTCTTCCAGTCTGCTGGAACATTCCCTCAAAGAAGATTGCCAGTGGTTCTGAAATTACTTCTGCGGGCTATTTCCTGACATGCACAATTTGGATAAGAACACCTTCTATTCCATCCCAAAGGCCCAAATCCCAAGCATTTCAGGAAACATGGGAGACTTAGGCTGATCTACACTAGGYATGGGCAAACTTCAGCCCTCCAGGTGTTATGGACTTCAACTCSCACAATTGTGAGAGTTGAAATCCAAAATACCCGGAGGGCCAAAGTTTGCCCATGCCTGATCTACACTGCCATACAACGCAGTTTATGCAGTATCTACACTGTCATACAATACAATGGATTTGATGTGCTATCTTAGCCGGCTTTTAATGGTTCAAATGTTGATTATTTATTTAAATTCCTTGCTTTAATTTGTGTAATGTATTTTATTGTTGTTTATATTTTTGTACTTCTGTTATATATATATATCTATTTAATAATGATTAATACCCATTACTCAACATGATCCAAGACTCCACTGAGCAACATGTCCTTGTCTACAATATGCCCCATTGTGCAATGGGGCCCTCATGTGCAAAAGAACATTATTACAATTTATTAGCATGGTATCTTATTATATTACTAAAAGTGGCTCAATGTAAAATAAATCACATGTAGTTCACATTTGATCAGTCCACATACTGTCTTACCAGAGAAAGACAACATGCCATGCAGATTATCGGTAATTCAGAACAACATATTTACAGGGTTGTTGTAGGTTTTTCCAGGCTATATGGCCATGTTGTGGAGGCGATTTTTCTCCTGACGTTTCGCCTACATCTATGGCAAGCATCCTGAGGATGCTTGCCATAGATGCAGGTGAAACATCAGGAGAAAAATCGCCTCCACAACATGGCCATATAGCCCGGAAAAACCTACAACAACCCAGTGATTCCGGCCATGAAAGCCTTCGACAATACATTGAACATATTTACAATCATGCAATCAGTTGGACTGACTCAAATAATCTCCTTTTAGAGAGATTTAAAATGGTCTTTCTTTGTGGAGAATCTTCTTTCTGGCAGTTCATGAAGTAAGAACATACTCCAAACTGTCTCTCTCTCTGCTTCTCTGCAAGCACCTGCATAGCTCAAGTCCAAAATATGTAACAGTAACTCAAAGTCCCTGCTTCAGCCAACTCCCCAGGCATAGCCCAACCATTCTGTTTTACATAGACACTGAATGTCTGCCTTTATTATGTTGGAAGCCGCCCTGAGTCCCCTTGGGGAGATATGGCAGGCTACACATAAAGTTGTTATTATTATTATTATTATCAGTATGCAATCTGAACTGGATTATATGACAGTGGAAACTCATACAAGGCATTTAAAGAATGATTGACAACTGGGAAATAGAGGGAGAAAACGTGGAGGCCGTGACTTTGTATTTCTAGGCGCAAAGATTACTGCAGATGCAGACTGTGGCCAGGAAATCAGAAGACGCTTACTTCTTGGGAGGAGAGCAATGTCCAGTCTCGATAAAATAGTAAAGAGTAGAGACATCAGACTGGCAACAAAGATCCGCCTAGTCAAAGCCATGGTATTCCCTGTAGTAACCTACGGATGTGAGAGCTGGACCTTAGGGAAGGCTGAGCGAAGGAAGATCGATGCTTTTGAGCTGTGGTGCTAGAGGAAAGTGCTGAGAGTGCCTTGGACTGCGAGAAGATCCAACCAGTCCATCCTCCAGGAAATAAAGCCCGACTGCTCACTGGAGGGAAGGATACTAGAGACAAAGTTGAAGTACTTTGGCCACATCATGAGGAGACAGCAAAGCCTAGAGAAGACATTTATGCTGGGGAAAGTGGAAGGCAAAAGGAAGAGGGGCCGACCAAGGGCAAGATGGATGGATGGCATCCTTGAAGTGACTGGACTGACCTTGAAGGAGCTGGGGGTGGTGACGGCCGACAGGGAGATCTGGCGTGGGCTGGTCCATGAGGTCACGAAGAGTCGGAGACGACTGAACGAATGAACAACAACAACATAGGGCGGTGTGGATCACAGCGTGGCTTGTGACTGGGGCCCCTTTCCACATAAAACCCCACATTATCTGCTTTGAACTGGGATATATGGCAGTGTGGGCTCAGGGCCTTTCCACAAAGCCTTATAACCCAGAATATTAAGGCAGAATAACCCACAGCATCTTCTTTGAACTGGATTATCTGAGTCCACACTGCCATATATCCCAGTTGGGATTGTCTGCCTCGATATTCAGAGTTATGTGACTGTGTGGAAGGGCCCTGGTGCCCTTTAATTCCTCCCTTCGGTTCCACAGAAGGCCGACTCTTGCCTCTAGGCCCCACCAATGGCTTTTCTCCCTCCCTCCCTCCCTCCCTCCTCTGCTTTCGGCCCATTGAGGCCTCGCAGCCGCCGCCCAGGCTCTCCTTTCCCAGAGGCCTCTCTCCGCCTAAGCGCTTCCCTCGACGCTTCAACTCACCGCAATGACAACAGTGTCCTCGGCCTGGAACTTGGCGATGTACTTGTCGCCTCGGGTCACTTCGGAATCGTTGAGGGGCCTGAAGCGACACATCACTTTGATGTTGCACTCCGCCGGGTCCGCCATCTTAGGCCTCAGCCGCCTCCTCCTCCTCTTCTTCCCTCAGCGTCCAGTCAGGCCCAGCGCCCGCCTCGCCCCAACGCCAGGCAACCTCTCCCCGGACTGAGGAGCCGGGCCAGTGTCCGAAGAATGGCGGAGGGCTCCCGCTCCGCCCAGGCCTCCTCTTCCTCCTCCTCCTCCTGCACTCACTTCCTTTCCAATATGGCCGCCATGGCGGCACCTGCAGCCGGCGAATCCGGGCCCCGCCCCTCCTGCGCGCGCGGGGGGCGTGGCTAACGGCCGAGCAGGGAGAAGGTGACGTCACCGTCTGCGGCAAGCAGTACTACGCAGGCGCAATGGCGAACCCACTTCGGCGACACGTCTTCCTTCCAAACAGAGAAGTCCTGTCAGCAAGTCCGGGAGGAGAGATGTAACGCGCAGGCGCAAAAGGAGGAAGCTAGGAAGCTGAGGCGAGAACTGTGCTGCGCATGCGCGGACTATTTAGCGGGAAGTCTGGCAAGGACTCTAGTCTTGGACTTGGAAAATCTTTTGAAGTTAGTGCGGTCGCTAGAAATAGTAATAATAATGCCTTATTTTTAATCCACCTTCTCTCCCCTAAGGGATTCAGGACGGCTTCCAAGAATTAAATTAAAATAAAATGGCAAACATTCAACGCCACATGCAAATAACAAAAGCATGTGGACAATTTCAACAGAAAGGAAGAGACCATGAAAATGCACAAAATCTGGCTACCAGTATTAAAAAAAAACTCTAAAATTACAACAGCAAAACAACAGAGAGGAAACAACCAGGCACAGATTAACACCTCCCAGCAAGAGATTTTCCCAGGCTCAGGCAGGCCTTCAAATGCTAATGAAGGTGATCAGTTGAAACATTCACACCAAACTGCAGCAGGGAAGAGCCCCTTGCCCCACCCCAGCCATTCCACAGATATATAAACCCATTGTCCTAATTCCAACAGAACTCACTACCTCAGAGGATTCTTGCCATAGATGCAGGTGAAACGTCAGGAGAAATGCCTCTAGAACATGGCTCTATAGCCCGAAAAAAACCCACAAGAACCTAGTGATTCCAGCCATGAAAGCCTTCGACAATACAACAACAGTAAACATTGTCACTGACATATAATGACTGGTTGGAAAAGTGCTCTTTCAGCAGTCACCAGCCAACCCCTCTCCAATGCCAGAAATACAACTTAATGGTGTAACATTAGAAAATGTTGACCATTTCCGCTACCGTGGCAGCCACCTCTCCACAAAAGTCAATACTGACACTGAAATTCAACACCGCCTGAGCTCTGCGAGTGCAGCATTTTTCCGAATGAAGCACAGAGTGTTTGAGGACTGGGACATCTGCAGGGATACCAAGGTGCTTGTTTATAAAGCTATTTTCCTCCCAACCCTGCTATACGCCTCCAAAACATGGACTATCTACACATGTCACATGCAACTCCATCAGTGTTGCCTCTGAAAAATCCTGCAAATCTCTTGGGAAGACAGGCGGACAAATGTCAGGGTGCAAAGACCACCAGCATTGAAGCAATGGTCCTCCGCCATCAACTTCGCTGGACCGGCTACATTGTCTGAATGCCCGATCACTGTCTCCCAAAGCAGTTGCTCTACTCCGAACTCAAAAACGGGAAATGTAATGTTGGTGGACAGGAAAAAAGATTGAAAGATGGGCTCAAAGCCAACCTTAAACGCTGTGGCATAGACACAGAGAACTGGGAAGCCCTGGCCCTTGAGCGCTCCAGCTGGAGGTCAGCTGTAACCAGCAATACTGTAGAATTTGAAGAGGCAGGAATGGAGGGCGAAAGAGAGAAACGTGCCAAGAGAAAGGTGCATCAAGCCAACCCTAACCTTCCACCTGGAAACCAATGCCCTCACTGCAGGAGAAGATGCAGGTCAAGAATCAGGTGCCACAGCCACCTAGGTATCCATGGGCAAAACACATAACTTGGAGGACCATCATCCTTGGACTATGAGGGATCGCCTAAGTATGTTAATAAGCCAACAACAATGAATGGACAGAACAAACAATTACAATTCAGAGTGAATATAGACATTTAAACTCACCAAATCAAACAGCTTTAGCCAAACATACAGTCAGGCCTGGTAACACATTCAGCAGTTTAAATCTGTATACAACTTGAAGTATCAAAATATAAAAATGCTATCAAGGTAATCCTTGATAGCATTAATAGGCATTAATAGGAAATTCTGATGTCTTCCGTGCAGAGATTGCAAGGCCCTTCCCACAGAACAAGATAAGACTATCTTTACAATATAATTAATGCAGTTTGACACCACTTTAACTGTCACGGCTCAATGCTCTGGGATCATGGAGTTGTAGTTTTATTAGGTCATTAGCTGCCTCTCCAAGGCAGTGGGTGCCTCACCAAACTACAAATCCCAATATTCTGCAGCATTGAGCCCTGGCAGTTAAAAACGTTTTTTGTTTTTGTTTTTTCGTTTTAGGAGTGACTTGAGAAACTGCAAGTCGCTTCTGGTGTGAGAGAATTGGCCATCTGCAAGGATGTTGCCCAGGGGACGCCCGGATGTTTTGCCATCCTGTGGAAAGCTTCTCTCATGTCTCCACATGGGAAGCTGGAGCTGACAGATGGGAGCTCACTCCGCTCCCTGGATTTGAACCGCTGACCTTTCAGTCAGCAGTTCTGCAAGCACAAGGTTTAACCCATTGCGCCACCAGGGGCTCCTTGTTAAAGTGATGTCAAACTGCATTAATTATGCAGTGCAGATGCACCCTAAGGCTTACTTCCTGGCTTAGCCTGAATATGAACCCAGACAGAAATTGATTTGTCTGTTTAATGTCATTCACTTTCTTCCTTAACTAGAGCACAAGGTGATTTATCAAATTAGAATCAGTGCAATTTAGCAAAAGTGTGTATATATATATAGAGAGAGAGAGAGAGAGAGAGAGAGCAACCTTTCTCATTTGCACAGTGGTCAGATGCTGTTCAAACGAAAACTTAATCACAATGTAATTGCCGTATTGCTTTAATTGTCATCCAGGCAGATATTCTTTTTTCAAACCTGCAAGATATTCATGGATTTTAAAATGCCGTCTGCCCAGAGTTTATGGTTGGAAAATCAGTAGAACATTTTGTTTTGAGTATTCGTCTCTGGTTTACTTCTCTAATTCTTCAAAAAAATAGTTAATAATACTATACTACTTCTGCCTTTTTAAAAAATGCTCTATTTTTACCTCCGCTCAAAACAACCAAACCTTTGTGTTCAGCCCATAAAACTTCCTAATGGCCTAACAACCCCTAAAGGAAAACAATGGTTGTTGCTTACTTGTAGGAAAACCTAATATTATTGATATCACAGGACAGTTTTTTACTCTGGTAACAATGTCCTCCTAATGAATGTTTTATTACTTGAATGTAGTCCTTGGAGGCAAATTTTCCTCATGTGATATGCTGGTTTTCTTATCGGCTGGCCTGTTTAGAAGAAAGAGTGTTTGTGTATGCCTTACTGTGCTGAATTGTGCCAATGTATTTTAAGTCGTCATTTATTAGACCTACCAGTTTTCCATCAGATAAAGCAAGTTGGACTCCCCATTGCCCAGATAAATGTCTTCCTTTAAAACAGTTGTTCCCAACCTGTCGTTCATTGACCAGCAGTGGTTTGCAAGAACTAAAATATGGGTCCGTGACCTCACTGTTACTACATTGTTGCAACTAGAGCGACTGGTCTCGCGAAACCTTCTTATAGTGCCAAACTGTATTAAATATGGTTTTCTGTGGGTGAGCAGATGGCGACTACTGGATAGCATATATTCTGTATCAGAAACTAGAGGTGATGTGGTCTATCCAATGCAATTTTCTGAATCAGCACCCCAAATAACTAAACCAAATCTAAAGTTGACCAAAAACTGATTCGTAACCCTATTGGGACTAATGTTGGAGAGTGGTCCCTGGTCAAAGTGGTCCCTGGTCAAGTCGTTCCTGATCAAAAAAAAGGGCTGGGAACCACTGCTTTAGAAGATAGGATGTGTTAGCATTGTACTAGCACCATATTGTACATCACATTTTCCTGATTCACTTAGAGTACAGTGCTGGAATTTACATTTGCCTTTGAACTTCACTAGATATTCATTAATGGTTAGATCCATCCTTATTGTGTACTATTTTCAAAACAAACCATAGACCACTTGCCTCTAAAGGCAGCCGGTTTCATGTCCATCATCACTCCTTTTTTCCACACCTTTTCTCACAAATGTCTTGAGAACTTCCCAAATCTTTCAAGGCTCATTTGATACAGTGGCATATTCCATTTTAATTGATACTTTATATACAGGCAGTCCCCAAGATAGGTTCTGTAGGTTTATTCCTAAGTTGAATTTGTATGTAAGTGTAATTCCAGTGCAGTGTGTGTGTGTGTGTGTGTGTGTAAAAGCTTTGAATAGGATAGATATAGAGGTAACACTTCTGTGTTGTTTATTTTACTGTCTGTGTCCCAGTTCAGAAGATTTCACCTCACTTTCTGTCCCTGTAATAATTAGATTTTGAAATATTTGTCTTGTTATGGAAACAAAGATTGGTGATTGGGGACTCCTTCACACAGCCCTATATCCCAGAATATCAAGGCAGAAAATCCCACAATATCAGCTTTGAAGTGGAATATATGTCAGTGTGAACTCAGATAACCTAGTTCAAAGCAGATACCATGGGATTTTCTGCCTTGATATTCTGGGATATAGGGCTGTGTGGAAGGGCCCAAAGCTTCAGTTGAGACATCTATTCCCCATGATAACTCTTTCATGAGTGAATTTCCCTTCCTAGAAGTAGATTTCTCCCACTTCCTGTTGTTTCACCCCATTTTTAACTATGAGTTGTTTGGGTTGTTGTAGGTTTTCCGGGCTATATGACCATGTTCTAGAGGCATTTTCTCCTGACGTTTCCTCTGCATCTATGGCAAGCATCCTCAGAGGTAGTGAGGTCTGTTGGAAGTAGGAAAATGAGTTGTTTTTAAGTCAGATGTTTGTAACTTTGGGACTCTCTGTACATGATAATTGACTTACATGGGATTTCATTGTACAATTGTTAAACTATGCAGTACAAGCCTATGTTATATCAAAGTGTATAATGTATACACTGTATATGGATTAACGCACACAGCCTTGATCCATTTTACTGAAACCTCCTAATTTTGATGATAGCGTTTCTGCAGATGGGTGGCTGTTTGTTCATTAGTGATCTCACTTTGGAGTTTCAGTG